CATCCTGTTAGTTTTTCTTATCTTTCTATAAGAATGTAATATTTCAAAATACATATTACAGAAAACACATATTACACATGGTATGAAGCAACAAAATTTGTAGAATTAAATGATATATGAAAACTTGAATGATGACTGAATTCTTATCTTCTTATGGATCTCATTCTATTTTAGAACACTCAACTAGTATACTTCTATTGCACTAATATTTTTGTCCAATATTTGCTTCTTCAATGATCTAGAAATAGAGAAAATTGAAAACTGTAATCCAGCTGTTTTCTGGGGTGAAGGATAATTCAAATGAATAAGAAAAGGAGACAAAGACCTCAAACCATCCAATCAAACATACTGCCATTAACAAAACCCAGCACCATCCCTGTTGGGCTGTCCCTGTCAGCTCCTTCCTCCTGTATTTGCCCAGACTTTTTAGACAGCTTTAAGCCAATTTCAATGTCCTCATTCATTCACCACATTAGAAACAACCAAGGCTATTTTAGGACTGTTACCTCTAAGGTTCTAAATATTTTTTTTTCAGATTTTACTCAAAATTTAGACAGGACAGCTTAGGTTACCAGTTATTACCTAACACAATGACTAAAACATAGCAGATGCTCAATGTACGATGCACAATCTGCTTTGCGTACAATGGAATCAGTTCTTCCTATTAATGACTGCCAATGAAAAATCTGAGAAATTCTCCTTCTAAAAAAATATTTTTCAAACTGTGTGGTTATCCTAGTCATAAATTACATTTTGGCAATTATGAAGTTGGCTCATCAATCAGATGGAAAGGAAAAGTACTCTCAAAATATTAGAAGGACTGAAAAGCTAAACAAGATGTTCAATTGAGGGCTAGATTGAAATAAATATTTTTAAGTGGATGACAGCCACAAACCTGGTGGTTGTACTGTCCACGAATGGGTACATGTAGTTTTGTTAAAGTAAACTCGGGGGGGGGGGGGGGGTAGGGTGTGTGTGATCTTCAACCTTAGTGGTTTCCAAACTTCTTTTAGAAAGTAGTGTAATTTTTGCCGAAGCCGGTTTGGCTCAGTGGTTCGATTCCGGTCAAGGGTATATACCTTGGTTGCAGACACATCCCCAGTAGGCGGTATGCAAGAGGCAGCTGGTCGATGTTTCTCTCTCAACGACCTTTCTAGCTCTCTATCTCTCTCCCTTTCTCTCTGTTAAAAAACAAAAAAAAAATCAATAAAAAAAAAAAGTACTGTAATTTTTTTTAACATTCATTATCTCATTAATCCTTACATAATCCATCTGAGGTAAGCTTTTAACCCCATATTTACATATGAAAGGCCCCAAAAAGTTGAGTAAATTGATCAGCCAGTAAAGTGGACAAAGACTGAACTTAAACTCAGTTCTAATGGACTCTCAGGATCCCAAGATCAAGCCCATACTCTCGTTATGTTACCTCGCTTGATTGCTCAATAAGCAAATGAAACCTATAAATGCATCAGGCTAATACTATTCCCTGCTGAAGCACTTCTAGAATCTATTTTTTATTTTTAATTGTACTAAAACAGACATAACACAAAATTTACCTTTTTAATCATGTTTAATTATGTGAATACAGTGGCATTAAGTACAATCACATTGTTTACAACCATCACTACTATCCATTTCTAGAATGCTTTCATCTTGTAAAACTGAGACTCTACCCATTAGGCAGTAACTCTGCATTTCCCCTTCCTGCGACCCCCTGGTAACCACCATTCTCCTTTCCAGCTCTATGAATTTGACTACTCTAAGTAATTCATGACTAACTTATTTCACTTAGCATTAATGACTTCAAGATATTTATTTCAATCTAGCCCTCAATTGAACATCTTGTTTAGCTTTTCAGTCCTTCTAATATTTTGAGAGTACTTTTCCTTTCCACCTGATTGATGAGCCAAGTTCATAATTGCCAAAATGTAATTTATGACTAGGATAACCACATAGTTTGAAAAATATTTTTGTACTATGTCAGAATTTTTTTCCTTTGTAAGGCTGAATAATATTCCATTGTGTCTATACACACACACACACACACACACACACATATATATATATACATACATATATGGGTATATGTACACATACACACACGCATTTTGTTTATTTATTCATCCAATAAAGGGCACTTCGGGGGATTGTGAATAATGCTTCTTTTAATCATTTTGAGTATGTAGCCTGTCTTAGTCTGCTCAGGCTGCCAAAACAAAATATCATAACCTGGATCACTTAAAGCAATAGAAGGTTTATGTCTAATAGTTCTGAAGGTTGAGAAATCCCCAAGATCATGGTGCAGTTGGTTCAGATCCTAGTGAGAACATTATCCTCATGTGGCAGAGAGGAAGGGAGGAAAAGGGGGAGAGGGAGAGACACAAAGAGAGAGCAAGCTTTGTGGTGTCTCTTCTTATAAAGGGACCCTCATGATCTCCTTTAGCCATAACCTCTTAAAGGTTATGGCTATACCAAATACCATCATATTGGGTGTTAGGGCTTCAATATGTGGACACAAACATTCAGTCCATAACACACTCAGAAGTGGAATCACTGGGTCAGACAGTAATTCTGTTTGTAATTGTCTGAGAAATGCCCACACTGTTTTCCATCTGGCTACACAATTTTCATTCCCACAAACAGTATACAGGTTCCCAATTTCCCTACATCCTTGCCAACCCTTGGTGTTTCATGTTTATGTGATAGAAGCTATCCTAATGGGTATGTGGTGGGCAGTAAAACTTTTAATAGCTAATATACAAAACAGGAAAAAAAGAAAAAAAAAAGAAAAAAAGAGAACCGCTCTGCCTTTAAAGCAAAAAACCTAGAAAAAAATCTAACATTACCCTCCTGCTTATGACAATCTGAAAGGTTCCACAAAAACTTTGGGGGGGAAATCTTGGGAAACAGACAGATAAGCCAGTCTTACAGTGGGAAGTGGGGTTCAAGTTGGATAGAGAAACATTGCTATTCAGGGTATCTCTGTTTTTCTAGTTCAAATGTAAAACTTCCTAAAATCTAGGACATAAGATAAAAATCCTGAGAAAAAATGGGAATTATTGTGATTCAACTAGGAATAGAACATCACATTGGAGGAGTACCTAGGAAGATACACAGTTTTGCCTTCAAGTTTCCAGAAACTGAATAAATCACATATATATTATGTGACTACTAATATATTTTTATTCTGGTTCTTATAAATTTATTTGTCTTCTACAGATAAAGAGGGCTGCTCCTACATTATATTATACTTAATAGTTCATAATTTTCTCTCCCCACCCCAGCACCCCCTCCCCAAATATATTTTCACTACAATAAAAGCTTAAACAGTGTGGGCCAAGTAGATTATTAGCTTTTGCAGCAAAAACATCTAATAGACTACCTGGCACACAGTAGAAATTAATAAGTGACACAAAATAAAGGGAGAAAAAGGAAAAACAAAAAGGAACATTTCTTGTACATATTGGCTGAGCTGATCTGAAATGAAATGCTCTCCCTATGATATAAAAGAAAAACTGCTCGCTGGCAATTAGGTCAACTACAAAAATATCACTAATGAGGTAAAAATATTAGATGAGCCACTCAAAATTTTGAATTCCATTTATTTCCTTGCTAAAGATAGAAATAAATAAAGCATTACTAGAGTACATTGTTACAAAGAACATGAAGTATTATAAAAATTGTAAAATAATAACAGTTGGACAATGATTATTTTTAAAATATATATATTTTATTGATTTTACAAAGAGAGGAATTGAGAGGGACAGAGTTAGAAACGTCGATGAGAGAGAAACACCGACCAGCTGCCTCTTGCACACCCCCCACTGGGGATGTACCCAAAACCAAGATACATGCCCTTCACCGGAATCAAACCCGGGACCTTTCAGTCTGCAGGTCGATGCTCTATCCACTGAGCCAAACCGGTCCCGGCGACAATGATTATTTTATTAATGAGAACAATATCAGCCAGAAATCCAATGAGGTCATGATATTAATTATGTAGTAATAAACTTTGGAAAGATAGATTGATGAAAATGCTCAAGGAAGGAGCATTTTCAGATCTAGAAAGAGAAACAACTGAAGAGGTAGTAGAATGTGTTTTGATAGACTGAGGCTATAAAAAAGATATCTGTTATGGGCAGAGTTGAGTCCCCATCCTGAAATTCATATGTTGAAGTCCTAAACCAGTGAATTCTTTGGAGATAGGGCCTTTCAGGCAATAATTAAGTTAAATGAGGTCCTAGGGCTAGGGCCCTTATTCATAGGACAGTTGTCTACATAAGAGGAGGAAACACAGGAGAGGTCTGTCTCCATGTGGGCACAGAAGAAAGGTCATGGAAAAACACAGTAAGAAGGCAGCCATCTACAAGGCAGAAAGGAGACCTCTCCAAAAACTAGCCATGATGGAACTTTGATCTGGACTTAAACCTCTAGAACTATAAGAATATAAATTTCTCGTTTATGCCATTCAGTCCATGGTATTTTATTATGGCAGCCTAAGCGAACTAATACATTATCCTTTTTCTTTTAACCTGAGCTAACTAAGTAGAAATGTCCTTTGTAAGCACTATATGATATGCAGAAGCCATAAAGTTTAACTATATTTAAAAAAACTAAACACTTCAGCACAGTAAAAGCCACTAGAAGAGTTAAAGTACAACTAATACTTACAATTTATAGGATAAAAAGCTATCAAATAAGGAATTTCTACAAACCAGTAACATGAACATTCAAAAAATAAGTCAAAGAATTTGACAGTTAAGAAAAAATGTAAATAAACAATAAACACATTAAAGATGTGCAAACTTATAATAACTAAAGAAATACTAATTAAAAAAACTTTTGTTGATTAGATGGAAAATGACTGCTAAAATCCTAATTCAGAATTAACAGAACTATTCTATAGCAACAAAATATAAATTGGAACAATTAGGCAATGACCAAAAGTCTAGAATAATTTTGAATCCATTTCTTTAAAACTTTAAAAAGAATTCACTAACCTGGGCCACTTTCATTGAATTCTGGGTAGAACCACCGGCATGATATTCGACTTTGAATTTTTTTACAAGTTCATTAAACCTGAAAGAAAACCACAGTAGAAAAAATAAGTTAGCATATGTCAGTTGTCACAATGCAAATTTCTGATTAGAAGCGCATTAAATTGCAATTGGCTATAAAAAAGACATTATTCAGTAGACAACTATGAATTTTTAATTATATAATTATGATGCATAAATAAAAATATTGTATAAAAAACTTTGCTACTACCCATACTTAAGAAATTTATTATATAAATGTACAACCATAAGAATTTAAAATATATAGGCTTTCCATTATTGAACTAAAGTTAGAAATAAAAATTCATAATTATAAGCAATGGATATTTTCCTACATTAAGTGTTGCTCTCTAAAATCCTTATAAATGTACCCTACCTAATGAAAGAGTGATATGCAAATTAACCATCACTCCACTCAAAACCATGCCCACCAGTCAAGCCCACCAGCCAATCAGAGTAAGTATGCAAATTAACCCCAACCAAGATGGATGCAGCCACAGAAACAGGTTAAACAGACTAAAATGTAGGTCAAAATAAAAGTAGTAAAAACTGACAAAGAAAAGGTAGGTTATTCTCTCTGCCAGGCTAAAAAATTTAGACATTATTCAGTAGACAACTAGGAATTATTAAAAATCTGTTTACTGCTAATATGAAAGCTAGCTGGTTTGTTTGTTTTTAAATGATTATAGCCCTACTTAAAGGACAGGGTGGAATAAAGGAAGGAAATATATTGTAAACCTGGTATATAATATATATAATATATAATATAGCAAACATAATATTGTATACCAACTATAGTTATGTAGAAAAATTAAAAATAATAAAAAAAGAGGTAGATCACCTGATTAGAATAGTTCATACCAAAGATCAGATACTGAGCTAACAGCTGGAGAAACATGATCAAGCTAAGGAATCATTTCTGAGGCTAAAGACATAGCATGTGATAACTACAAATGGGAGATATGGCAGATGAATGACAATTCATCTCAGACAATTGTAGTTCGGATGACTAGTTGGATGGTGTTTGAAAAGGAGATACAGGATAGAAGAAAAGTCATACGCAATAAAGAAAAATCCTAAATGGTTGAATGACAAGCCAAAAATATTTCCAGCCCTAGCTGGTTTGGCTCAGTGGAAAGAGCATTGGCCTGTGGACTGAAGGGTTCTGGGTTTGATTACAATCAAGGGTACATGCCCAGATTGCAGGCTCAATGCCTATGCAGGAGGGAGCCAATCCATGGTTCTCTGTCATCATTGATGTTTCTCTCTCTCTCTCTCTAAAATTGAAAAAAAAAAAAAAAAAAAAATATATATATATATATATATATATATATATATATATATATAAAATTTCCGATCAGGAAATTTATTGCAATGAGGCAACATTTGTTCCCCTTAATTTTCTACAATTTGATCATCTGCTTATTTCAATTTATAGTGAAAGCATTTCTATTAAGGGTAACTTTTAAATAAAAGTGAATATCACTGAGGTTTAATTCAGAATTTCTTGCAGACTAATCTTATGGAAAAAAGCAATATACTATATACTTCTAAATAAGTTTTAATATTTATTCTGATAATGTGTAGGGGAATTTAAATTCTAAGTAATGCTTTCCACTCTCCTATCACATATTACTAAATACCTAACAACAATTTAGAATTCCTGACAATTAATATGATGGCTATCTATCTATATCTATATTTATGGTTTTTTTTTTACAAGAAAAGTAAAATACAGGGAAGTAGAGGTTTCAAACACTAATGTGGTAGGCAAAACAGTGACTAAATTGTGCACCTGAAACCTGTATAATTTTGTTAACCAGTGTCACCCAATAAATTCAATAAAAAGAAGAAAAAACAATATTTATTGGAAGTAGCTAATATAACTATGTATAGCTACCATACCTTAGAAAAATAATCACAGGACTCTTAATTCCACTGACTGAGATCCACACATAAGGATCTGAATGAAAAAGTAAGTCTTACTCCCATGATCTGGGCCAAGTATGGTTTAGTTCAATTTGTAAGATTTCAAGATTTTAAAATCTAGAACATTTTGAATTCCTATCTTCATTTGGTTTTTGGTTAAATAATTTATTTCAAAATATCTTTTTAAACTTTACATGAATTACCCATAAATCAGCAAGACAAATGGCAAAGTCATATAAATGTGAGAAACTGACAAGTCTGACATCCTATGATATAAAGTCTGAATAAGTCATAGTGATTCTAGTGATTAAGGATACTAAAGCATTGTTCATAATTTCTGACTTAAACATAATTGATCAACTATTTTTAAAATAGACTTAGTGTTATAGAAATACTTTTTACTATAATTATTAACTTTGAGAAGGTTTTACTATCCAGAATATTATCAAGAACTCTCAGAATAATAAATTGGACAAAAAGAATAGTAACAAAGAAAAGATACAGATGACAAATAAGCATAGATTTTTTAACATCATTACTACAATAATTAGGGAAATACAAATTAAAACCATAAGGAGATAAAGCCATAAGGAGTGACTTAAAAAACTGACAATACTAAGTGCTGAAAAGGATGTAAAGCAATTGAAATGCTTATAAAATAAAAATGAAAAATGGTACAGCCTCTTTAGAAAATAATTTGGCAATTTCTTTTAAAATTAAACATGTAGTTATCAGATAACTCAGGCACATGACGGGTTATAAAAGCCTTATTTATAATCAACAACCCACATATTCCTCCTCAATTAGTGAATGGATAAACAAATTGTAGTACATTCACACAAGGAATACTATTAAGCAATGAAAAGAAACAATGAATACATTCAAGAACATGACTGAATCACAGAAATATTAGGTTATGTTAAAGAACACCAGACAAAAAAAGGCCTACATAAAATATGATCCTATTCATTTGACATTCTGGGTAAGATAAGCTATATGGATAGAAATCAGAGTAGTGATTGCCAGCAACTGAGGGTAGAGAAGAAACTGACTATAAAGAAATTTGAGTTCTAATTGGTTTGGCTCAGTGGATAGAGCGTTGGCCTCTGACTGAAGGGTCCCAGGTTCAATTCCAGTCAAGGGCATGTACCTTGGTTGCAGGCACATCCCCAATAGGGGGCATGCAGGAGGCAGCTGATTGATGTTTCTCTTTTATCGATGTTTCTAACTATCCCTCTCCCTTCCTCTCTGCAAAAAATAAATAAAACATATTTTTTTGAAAAGAAATGTGAAGTTGAGGGGCAACGGAAATATTCTATTTTGGTGTTGGTTACACAAACTGTATACACTTGTGCAAACTCATAAAATTTTACACACAAAAAATTTCACTCCATATAGATTATACCTCAATATATCTGATTTATTAAATACATACATACATACACACACAATATCTAAGTAATCAATTAAGGAAATTCCAAAAAACTCCCTCTCCCTCTCCACATTATGTATATACATATGTACATCTCTATCTACACAGAAAGACATGGACACACAGAGACGTACATAAACCACATTTGAAACTAAAAATAATCCTAAAGATAAAAACAATTATCCCAATTTTCTAAGTAAAGACACAAATTTTGAATTTTAGTAACTCATTTTTAAACTTTGGATTTTGAAATTAGTTTCAAAGTATGTAAAGGCTGCAAGAATAAGAGAACACCTGTACATTTTTTTGCCAAAATTCACCAATTTTTGCAGGTTTTTCCTTTCTCTATAGATACATAAATATTTAGTTATTCCAAATCATGTTGAGATATGTTGCATATATAACACTTTTATTTGTAATACTTCCGTGAAAATTTTCAGAAGATAACGTTTATGTACATGAAATCATTTTATTTGGGGCTTACTATTGATATGTCCAATTAATCCAACACAATCCAAAGCTATTGTATTACCTCATCGCTTATGTATTATGTATTTCTCTTCTAACGAGATCCCTTGCTCTAAGTACAGGGCAAAGCTCAGGGCTCCTACTGGGCAAGCTCCTTATAGGGCAAAGAACAGGGCTCACTAGAATAGACTGGGGACAATGTATTGCCTGATCCTAATCTATGTCCAAAACACAAGTCTGGGACCTGTGTGTCCGACTTTTTCTTTTCAGCAGTGATTGTGTCTGATCTTGAACATATTTCCCTTCTTTTTCACAGTCTCTTAAGCCTTCCATTCACCTCTACTTTCCTAAGGTACCGACATAAAGAAGCAGTAAGAGTTCCATTGAAATATAATATTTCTTCCTCTACTTATAAGAAATTTGAATTCTTAGTATATTCTATCTCCTAGTAATTTTAATGGTAAGGTTCTATGTGATTACATTTGTGTCCCTTGTTTCAAGAATATTGAGGAAATTCATATTTAAATTTCCAAGCCCAGTTTAAGTGAATTTTGATGAGTTTCTCTTTAGCAGACATGGTACATATTAAAAAAGATCCAGCCAATAATTAAGAAAAATGTTAAAAACATGTACAATAAATATAAGAACATTTGGAATAAAAACCTATGGCTGAAGCTAAACAAATTTTTAATAAAAGAGAGTTTGTTGATTAATCATTTTTAAGATGCATTCTAAAAAGCAGGAAGATAAGAAAAATATAAAAAAGGAAAAGGGAGAGAGAAAATAAAAAACAGCAATAGCTCTTTATAATGGTAATTTTTCTAGTTATCTGATATTAAGTAAATACTAGTTGAAATGAGAAAGATTTTATTATTATACTCTGTAACTTAGCACCAATAATTCTTATATCAAAAAGTCCTTATAAATAAGATATAAGAAAAATTATGAACAGGAAAATGTATGTAAAACTAGCCTCTATAATTTCTAGGTTTTCTTAGGGCAGATACTTCCCACTTTCACATTAACTAAAAATCTTTCTTTTTCCAGTCTTGGAGAGAAAATCAGCGTTCAGCATATGTCAGTAGATAAAGCATATCTCACACTGCGCTAACACCACCACAGCACAGAAACAAACATCAACAACTTTGAACATTTCATAAAGGAAGATATATGAGGGATAAGACGTAAGTAAA